TTCACTATTCCGCAGATGAGATTAAAAGGGATCCCGCTGGAGGAGTTTTCAGATTCCAGTGCCCAGATGGGAAGGTTCCACACTGTACCCCTGGCACTACATGCAATTCCAAGAGCGGAGCAGTAGTCCCGTTTGGATGGAATTCTGTCTCCAAACAATATAAAATTTCCGTCGTGCCCACTTGCAGGTCCCCAGGTAAGTTTCATAATTTCATAGTTTGTTACTTGGTGTGGATCCCTTGTGCATATTATCCTCACGTATGATGTGATTGGCCTCATTTCCTCTGTGCTGCGCTGATGAGTCCACAAAGGCTGGAAAAATACTCAATATAGATTTCGACCGGATCCGACCCGTTGGCTCGTGCCGACCTGTGCTCTATGGCGTAACGAAATACATAAGAAACACGTGCCATTTCGACCAATCCTGTCCATGATCAATGCTCCCCAACACGAAATGGCCAAGTGGCTAGCTGAATTACTAAAGGCAGTCCTGAAAAAATATTCCGCCCACGCAACTAAGGATACCTTCGAGTTCGTGGATGGTGTAAGGGAATTTGGTCAGCAGCAGGCAGAGAACTCTGGATCGCTGTTCCTGTGCTCTTTCGATGTAGTCAGCCTCTTTACAAACGTGCCTCTCAAGGAAACAATAGATATCTGCATACAGTCGCTATACCATGATGATGAAATATCAGCCCCGAAAATACCCCAAGATCTTCAAGAAGCTGCTTTTCAAAGCCACATCAGACGTGCAGTTCAGTTTCAATGGCAATATGTACGCACAGAGGGACGGAGTAGCCATGGGTTCACCCTTGGGCCCCGTGCTAGCCAATATCTTTGTTGGATATTTTGAGAACTCAATTCCAGACAGTCATTGGCCTCAATTCTTTAGGCGTTATGTGGATGACACATTCGCAGCATTTCACAACCGGAAACTAGCATTGGAATTCTCTGAGCGTTTAAATGATCTTCACCCAGCTCTCCACTTTACAATGGAGGAGGAGAATAATGGAGAATTGCCGTTTCTTGATGTATTGATTAAGCATTCTTCCACAGAATTGCTCACCACAGTATATAGAAAGCCGACGTTCACAGGTCTTTACACCCGCTGGTACTCGTTTTGTGACACTAGAAACAAAATCAATTTGATCAGATCATTAACTTTCCGAGCTAAAAACATCTGCTCACCATCACTATTATCAGCTGAAATTGCTTAGCTAGAGGATATTCTGTGTTCTAACGGTTACCCACTCAAAGTACTCAAGCGAGTCATGACAAGCGTTCTTGAACCTAGCCCAGATACAGCTTCTGCACAACTTGAATCTGCAACGCGTATTATCAAAAAAAAGAGCAAAATTGGCTTCTGGCCAGCGGGTAAAGCAATCCACGCAGGTCAGCAGATAGCATTGCCTTCCGCAAAAAGATTGAAGCTGCAATTCTGAACTGCTATCCTACAGTATCCCCCATTGTAATTTATACAACTAGGCCCGCATTCAGGTCTATCGCGAAGGATGTTTCACCAACTCTTTAAAATAGTAATTTTATTTATAAGTATGCGTGTCGCTGTGAGCGGACTTACGTTGGTGAGACATGTCAGCGATTCTCTGAAAGGATCAAGCAGCATATCCCAGACAAGCTGTACAAGAAGCCGCCTGACAAACGTGTGGCAACAAGTGATAGTGCCATCACAAAGCATTTGCAAGCGCAACCTGAATGCATCCCGCAGGAACGCAACAGCAGCTTCAGTGTCATCACACCGGCCCGGAACAGCGCGCACCGATTCACACTGGAGGCGCTGCACATTCGCAGTTTGAGGCCAGAACTGTGTCGACAAAAGAAGCACATCAAGGTGCTGCGGCTGTTCAAGCTGCAACCGGACTGACAACTTCATCACGTGTTTGTTTTGGTACTGCATTCCCTTCATGTGTTGTTTCCCGCATTTTTCCATTGCTCTATACATTCTTATGGTAGTGTAGTGTGAACTTGAGGCGCGTAAGAATATTCTTGCTGATTCTCTACCCCCAGTATAAATTCTGGCTTCGTTTTCGTTCTTGCTCATTCCCATGTAACTACTGATGAAAATAGGTATATACACACAACAAGGTTGTCAATTTCATAATACTAAAAGCTTTTCACCCATTTCATCAGTAGTTACATGGGAATGAGCAAGAACGAAAATGAAGCCATATACATACCGTATTTCCGCGCATATAAAGCCATGGCGTTATATCCGAATATAAGGCCACCCTCACTTATAAAGCCATGGCGTTATAAGTGAACAAAATTCAATGTGGAGGAATTTGCATCTGGCGTTAAAGCTGAGTAGTAGTAGTAGTAGTAGTAGTAGTAGTAGTAGTAGTAGTAGTAGTAGTAGTAGTAGTACTTTCAGTTCTTTCAGTGAACCTACAGTAGCGGTGATTCTCTCTGCATGTACCCATCCCCAATGTCACATGTCACCTTGTACACAATAGGTTCACAATTTGAAATTTTCAGGGAAAATTGAAAGTGCATGGATCCTCGACATGAACGTGCACTCGAAGTTCATACTCTGCCGATTTCTTTGCATGTACGCATCTCTCACTTTTAGCGCCATGGCGTTAAATCCGAGGCTATTTTCTGTAAAAAAATTTGGTCCAAAACAGCGATGTTTCACTTATAACGCCATGGCTTTATATGTGCGGAAATACGGTATATTTATATCTACCTTAATATACACCCCCATTCATCACACAGATCCCCGGCCAGTGCATATTCAATGTATTTGCTCAAGAATGAAATAAATACTGTTAATAATATGTAGCAGTACGCTACTTAATTCTATACAAAAGTCTGGATTCATGAATTTAGAACTAACTTCGAACGATTAAGGTGTCATAACTAATGTTACTTTTTAGATTACAGAGAGGACAGAAACATTACTGTTCAGCTCACAACAAGAGAGAGAGAGAGAATGGAAGCGAGGCAAAAGGCAAGGAGCGGCGAATTCTACTCACCTGCTGAATACGGTGTACGGTACAATTATACCAAAAGGGAAGGCCAGCGGCGCACTGGAATCTAGTTGTACACAGCTGTAGTACGCATGCAAATAAGGATAATACGGTGTGGAAGTGAACGGCGCATGCTGATACGGTAAAGCGGTCGTAATACATATAAGTGTGACCGCGAGATCGGAGAATTTCATAAAGCCAATAATTATGAGAATTTCATTGAAACCGAAGTAAATCAGGTAGGGCTGAAACGATCATTCAATAACTCCTAACGATCAACCAATATCGTTAACGATCGATATATTGGTTTTATCGATTATTGTCGGCTCTATTGAACACCAGTTTATGGAGAAATCCCATGATGCCTTTGCTGCGTTAGAAATTCGTGGCACCGCACTGTTGACACCTGTAGAAATCTGGCTGGTTTATCAACATGAACTACTCAACTAGAGAACTTCATGTTGTTTCTAGAGCGAAGAATCTTGTTATCACCCTCTGGGAACTGCTCCCATCTCCGCCTTCTCCCACAAATGAACCGAAAAGGCAAAGTCTTCTCTCCCGATCTCTTTCAAAGCCACAAATAAATTTCACTGCGCTTGCATGGCCAGCAATCGAAGACATCTGAGAGTTGTAATTTTTGTACTCCTCCGAGGTGTGATTTTTGGCGTGCTGGGCCGAGCACAAGGAAGCCATCTGCAAAAAAACTGCAGAAAATGGTTGTTGTTTGATCCTTTGGTGTAATCTTTGTTTCTAGTCGAAGCTAGTTGCTGTTTGGAGCAGAAATGCTGAGATTGACTATTTTCTGCATGTATTCATACATGTACTCATGTACTCAGTCATGCAGTCTCACTCGTATTTTAGCTCTTTTTCTGGAATGGATGCTGCTCTGCGCCCTTTGGTGACCCTTTCCTGCGCTCGTGGAGCAGCTGAAAAGGACCACTGGTACGTCTGGTTCCTGGTTTGAAAGTGGAGACTCGACTTTTGTGCCTTGAAAAAGGAGTAGAGAGCGTTAAAGGTACGTCTCTGGCTTATTTTTGAGTGCTCCTCGTACATTTTAGATCGTGATAGAAATTCTCAGACCAAAGTCAGACCAAAGTCAGCGCGATGATGGCCGTACAGTTTTCTTGTGGATTTTTTAGTTGTTTCATCTCGTATCTATGTCAGTATCGTGATGGTGAAGTGGAGAGGGTGATTTTCTTCCTCTAGGCTTCCTTCGGCCGACTTTGCTTCGTCCTCGTTGAAAAGTGATCTGGAAAAAAGGTCGATTCGAAAAATTATGTTGATTTTCAAAGTACGTTGCGATTGCTGGCTATGAAAGTACATGATTGCACTAGTATCCACTATCGGATGGAGTGCAAGAGCTAGAATACTGTCACTGATATGCATCCATAAAAAATCATTAGCACTCGTTTTGAGCACTTACGATTATCGATTGCACTCTTAACGATCGATAGGCGAGTTATCAGTATAATTGTTTCAGCCCTAAAATCAGGTCATGTGACCGAGAATCCGTTACATTACTCCCCTGCCAGTGTACAAGCCGGAGGCAGGAAACGATAACCTTTGAAAGGAAAGAAACGACAACCGCAATGTAGAAGAAGAAGCGTATAAAGGAAGAAAAAAATGAAAACCGCACGGCAACCGGAAAAAGGTCCGACATAAACGGCCAACGGGGACAAAGAACGGAGGAGCCCAGCCGATCAGTTAGCAAAGCGAACAGCACGTGCAGGGGGTGGGGCAGCAGCAGCATCCGGCGGGACAATCAGAGAAAGAGCAGAAGCAGCAGCAGCTGTAACAGGCAGAGCATATGCGGGCTTCAAACGGTCAATGCTAACCTGGTCGGACTTGCCCTTGACGTCGACCATGAAATGCTTGTCAGCACGCTTGAGGACCCGGAACGGACCAGTGTACGGTGTCTGGAGCGGCTTGCGGACACTGTTGGTACGGATATACACGAAGTCGCATGTTGACAGATCCTTAGGCACGTATACTGGGCGGTTGGACTGGCGAGGGCCGACGTCTGAGGGCCGGATGTTTTGCAATACATCCCGGAGGAACTGAACGTAAACGAGCACCGACGGCATAAACGGCGGTGGCTGGAAGAACTCAGATGGCAAGCGGAGAGTGGTGCCGTAGATCAGCTCCGCGGAACTGCACTGGAACTCCTCGCGCAGGCTAGCGCGAAGGCCCAGCAACAACAGGGGCATCATCG